CTTCGGGCGAACGCGCGCGCGGCGAGCACGCATCTCGTATCTAATTATTGAGGAATGCTTTGTGCGTGTAGGAAGCCGCGCCGGCCGTACAGGCTTAACGACTCGGCGCAAGAAAAAGAATCGGGCGCACGAGTGAGATTGAGAGGTAGAGGCGGGCGTGTGAGCGCGCGCACTTACGCGCCATTTTTCGGCCGATTTCGCGCCCGCGCGTTTTTGCCACGGCTTTTAGCGCGCGTTACGGAACACGTGTCGGTGCATTATCATCGGCTCGCGGCTAGGTAATTCGGCATTAACCCGAAAGAGTTGCGCGAGGTGCATTCGCACCGTGCCTTCAACCAGCAGAAAGAGAGAGAAATTCATATTCCGTTCGAGTTCACATTAGCGTTTGGCACTTTGAGCTTTTCCTAATTTATACAATTCAGTTGTTAACGATATATTAAATATTAAAGTGTGTATAGGGATTTATTAATTATTTATTAATCATTAATTATTATTAATTTCTATTAATATTCTATATATTTATATTATATATTTCGATATATTTCTATATATTTCTATTATTATTAAATTCTATTAATTTCCATGTACACATTTTAATATTTGATCAAATTCGCGTGAAAGTGTTGAAAACTGGCACAGTGCCGACTACTGGACGTTTACTCTATTCTGAGCGAACTGAAAATTTACACAGAATACTGCATTCAAAACGAATGTTGCTTGTTTCAAGTATTTCAAAAGTTTATTATTAAGTCACTGCAAGCTCAATTCTTGAAAAATGGGTGAAAAAGATGTAACTAACATAATAAGGGACGCAACTGGCAGGAAATAGAAACTGTTATTTAATTGATTTTGAAGCGCCCACAAGACTTGGATCATTTTTGTTTTACGCAGAAAGCATAAAACAAATGGACTGTCTATTAGCAACAAGAACTCAAACATTCTAATTTTGCGAGTTGGATCATTCTTGCATAGCTATGGCCAATTAAGAAGCACGTTGGTGTTCTTGATTAAGGTGAACCAAAACGCCGTCAGGTCTCGCAATTTCGACGAATGCTATTCTCCACTTTCACGTTTTGGACGCTCTTGATGACCACAGAACACGAACGGAGGACAGAGAGAGAGAGGAAATGCGATGAAACGGTGAGAATTATACACCGGTGGGCCTCGCGGAACGCCCAGGTCATTCATTCACACTCAGATTCCCGAAGGGCGGACCATCGCTATTCTTTACGCGCGACGTGATGGATAATTAATAATTATAAAGCGATCAACGGAAGGGCAGCAATTGTGCGCGATCCGCGCCGTAGTGGTAATTTCTGATTCGCTTGTGCGCGAAGAATGAGGATTCGCGGCGAGCTCAATTTCATTTGCGCCCCGGAGGGCTCGTTAAAGGCGCGTTTTACTCGCGTGTAAAATCGCGTTTAGATGGCGGCTCGTTTGGCGCGACGAGAACGCCGCGGAAAATCGCGGGTTCTCAGCGCGCTTGCACCGTGCAAAAAAGGTTAGAAAAGAAGAAGAGAGAAAGGAAAGAGTAAAACGATCGATTGAAGGTAAAATGATCGAAAATAATCGTGGGACGTTTCGCGATGAAATGCAAATTACTTAAAAAAAAATATATATACTAGAGGAGAGGTGCCATGAAAGAGAGGGACGTGTAAAGAATTAGGTGAATCATGTGGTATAAAAGGCGTTTTTCATTTTTTTGTTCATACTTTGCCATCAAGCAACTGTGATCAACGTTTAATTAATTACCTAATTACTACCTAATTATTAAGTTAAATCTGATTTTCTGCGATTTTATGTTAATTTGATTATTTTTATGAAGTACTTCTGTTTTTATTAGAGAATTTTTTTATTCATTAGGCTATTAGATAACTTAATTTTATTATAATTAATAAGCAAAACTGAATCTGATATTTGTAATATTTTTAATCTCTCATTAATATTACTTTTATATCAAATTATCTTTTTTGTTAATTATTTGAGAATTTCCTTTATTTTAGCATACTGTCTTTTTCATAAAAAAACTCAACGATCCTTTCAATACGATCAGTTTATGGAAGTAACAAAACACATTTTTTCAAAAAATAAAAAATAACGCATGTAGAATTAGTAATAAAAAATGGTTATCATCACCGATTATTATTGTTCGATAATTGACGTTTCTAAAAAAAAATGACTGATAAAAACTAAAATAGTCCTTTAATCTATTTACTATTTTATTCTGAACAAAAATGTCCCTTTTATGCCACTTCTGCCCTACACATTGGTAGCAGGCATATTAATCATATAAAAAAAGACAACTGTCCTCCTTCCAGCGAGCAGTTCGTTTCGTAGAGAAAAGTAGAAGATTCGAAAGTCGCGAGCGGCTAGAGATATCGGACGATTCTGACAACGCTGAGTCGAGCCATCGACGCGAGAGAGATACCGTCGCTTCCCGGATCGTTTATCGGCTAGTGCGATTCCGCCGTCGTATTATCGATTATACTCGGACGCGTTGGTAACGCGCGCGCCGGCCACGTCCACCGTCGTCATTATGAAAATAGCGAGTGTGGAGTACGGCGGGGAGGCAGCGCATGATTGCGCGCGAGCCCGCCGATCGCCGTGGCGTCTCTAATACAGGGAAAACGCGTTAACACGTGTTTGCTTTAGGCACCTCTCTCGGAATCGGCGGCTGAACAATCACTCGACCCGCCGAGATTGCCGCAGGAGAAAGCATCGGGGCAAGAGGGGGGAGGGAGAACCTAATCTACGACGTTAAGTACTTTCGCAAATAGGTCTGTCGAAATTTTCGTAAAAAAAAAAAAAATATCAATTCCACGCCTCGGAGCTCAAAACGACAAGAAGAGATGAAAATGACGTTACCAATCTATGACGGTAACTTACTCGGTAAATAACGGTGAATTACTCGATAATTTCGAAAAGCTGATGAAATAGTAATTTAGAAAAAAAATTACACAAATAAAAAAATTTTAAAATAATAAAAAATTTTAATAAAAAGTTTTTTAGTTTTAATCTATATTATTATCTTATACGCTCACAGCATTTTCACTTATTACTTTGCTTTAGTAATATTTTAAGATATAGACTTTAATATTCTCGAGGGATTGTAAATAGTTTGCTTTCTTTCATCTGACAGACATTTCAGAGATTATCAGATGTATAATTATATATTTGATGAAAATATAAGAAGAATGTTGTTTTATCTTATGCATTAGTGCGGAAAACAAGAATATTTTTGCACGATCAAAAACAACGAATTTTATCAAAATTACCAATAAATTACCATTTTACCGTAAGCAATCGTTTGACGGTAAATTTTACATCTCTAGTTGCAGGCAAATAATATTGACATATATTGGATTATAAAAAGATCAATCTTTATATAAAATTATTAAGATTATTAAATAACACATTAACTATAACATTAAATAACAATTATTAAAATTATTAAATAACATGTTCCTATAAAAATTTTAAGGCGCGAGAATATTACAGTATAATTTTTCCATGGTACAGTCGAACAGTGAATTATAAATAAACAAATGTCCCACGAAACGAAGCCTTTCCTGACACTAAAAGGGAGAGTCCTTTCGACGCTTCTGACAAAAGCCCCGTAGTATTTACGGAGGACCAAGGAACAACAAACCGGTATCAAAGGCATGCTCGGAGACAAAGGATCGATGCGAGACCAAACGTCGATGCGACAGAAACCCTGTTCGACGATCAGGTATGCTTAGCGCAGCGATTTTCGAGGCAAAAGCTCGTTTATGGAAGCCTCGCGCGAGGACAGGGAACCTTTTGTACGCTCGCCTCTGTCGACGAAGGGAGCTGACCGCTTGAATCCGATGTCCGCTCCAAGGAGCAGCCGCCATACGTGGCTCGGAAGGGAGGAAGAGGGCCCGCGAATATGCGAGACAGCGTAAGCATCGCGCGCAATAACTTCGGCGTAATCGTCCAGAAGAGGCAAGCCGGTCGAGGAGCGACCGTGTACGGCGCGAGCTTTCATGCACGCGCGGAATAACAAGCCACGTCGCGGTACACCGACGATCTTCTTCTTCTTCTTCTTCTGGTTCAAGGCCACAGTGGCCGTCGTCAACCCTTAAGCAACATCCACACACGACGACGCGCCCGTGCAAGCCTCGGACTCTCCAACGCGACTCTAACGGTTGGACAACGTTCGCGTTTCCGGAGTAACGACGCGTGTTACTCGTTGCCCAAACAAATCCCGTATTTGCGCGATAAAAATCCTGACTTTACTTGATTGTTGGCCGGAAATTCATATTCTTAATGACGTTATTAAGGAAGTATTTTCTGAATCAAAACTAGTCAGAAGATAGTCAGGTCAAACATAATTAGATATAACTAGATTATACCAGTCGAAACATTCTAGTTCTTACTTCCAAGTCAAAATTTTAGCCGTATTTTATATCTGAATTTTCTAACATATGTATATTCTGATGAATCAGTGTATGTGTAATACACATGGAAACTGAAATACCTACTTAGCGCTTCCAAACGACAGTAAAATATCACTTGTAGATTCTAAATAAAATCTCTCGACAAAGCTAGTAGGTTAAGTGGAATCACGAAAGGTTGATATCCAAACAAGCATTAAATGAAATATTGAAGTCGAAAGTGGAATCAAAATTTCGACTCTGAAAGCGCCGACCAAACTGAGTAGGACCCAGGCAGTAACTATTGGATCATTATTGGACAATAATCGAAATTTCTGGCGAGTTATTGGCTATCTTCTAGCTTATTTCCTAGCTTCGGGGTATCGTGTTTTCAGTGAAAAAAATTGATATCGTGCTGTGTCATAATTACAACATGACCATGACCGCGTCGTTTTATTTGGCTTCTGTCATAATGACGTTAACGCGGAGAGTAACGTCAGCCGGATAAGGGGTGAATTAGCCAGGCCAGTTTGCACAGGTCAGAAAGACGTCTCGAGAGTCCTCGAGACAGCTCGCAGGCGTATTAATTTGCGCGGGACTTACCTCGTGCGCCTGATCCTCGATGCTCCGTAGAACCGCGAGATTGCGGATAGTCGCGCGTCGCGACTCAAACGATGACTCCAGCCTGGTGGCGGCCTTACCCACCTCCTCCACCAGTCTCCGGGCTCGTTTCACCGACAATCTGGAAAGATAAAAAGGAACCGCGATCGTGGCCGCACCGTTAGGAATTCGCGCAGCCGTCCTCTCGCATACGAAAGATCGAACTCTGACTCACGAGAGGAGCCCGCGCGAAAGTTGAGTCCGCGCGAATCGAAACTGCGAGTGCGCGTCGCTTAACTAGCGGCGAGGCTTCCTTATCTCGGCATTAAAGTGTCCTTGCGGCCGATAAGCTTCATAAGTATGCGCAGGTCGCCGCTAGTTCGGCGTATATCAAGCAGACAACCGTCAATTTCGCGAATTAATGCGATCGCGATCAACCGCCGGCAGAAGTTATTCGCGGATAAATAGCTCATGTAACTGTGATTCGATCAGCGCCACTACGCGTGCAATATAAAGCACTGACTATGAATATGTTAATGATAAAATCACCAGTATATAAACCAATATGAAGAAAAGAATTTCCCCGCATCCCGCATGGAAATTTTCCAGAATTTTCCCAAATGCAGAAGAGACCTCTGGTTAGAATGCCTCAATTTGTGTCCCACTTAGATTCACATATTTAAAACATTACACTTCTAACCACCCTACATAGATTTCTCATTTAGGACCTATGATTATTGTAGGAAATCGGGCTGGATCTCAATTAGACAGTGTTAGATCCCAAAGTATTTTCTATGCGGCAACTATTGTATTCAATAGAATAAAATATGAAAAAGTAAAATCTTTTCAAAACACTATTTTCAAAAGCATATTTTTGAATTCATTTAGAAAGTCAACATATTTTACTCAGTTTTAACGTAAAATGAAGACCAGAGAAGATATTGGGAAAAGTTTGGGTCTCCCCACTTAAAGCCGCATGTTTAAAATCTCTATCTAGAAGCCATACTTATTTTGGGAAATCGGACTAAATCCCAGTTAGATTCCAAGAAACTTTCTGTGCGAGATGTCGCGAAGAATTAATTGGAAGAATAATTTAAGAAATTCCTTTTTTAATGAAGAAATCTCGCGACTAGACGCAATGCGGAAAATGTGTCGTCCCACGTGGTGTGTACCACAAGAACGATTCTTGTGTACGCGCGCTCTCGCTCATTATAGGTATAAAATTCTCCTACCTAACGTGCTCGACGTGCAGAAGCGGGGCCGCGCGTTCCTCGAGCGCGGCGATGGCCTCTTCGGCATCTCTAGACGTTCTTCTCAATGTGGGGTCCGTGAGGAGCCGACCGAGAGGCGTCAAAGTGCCGGACAGGCTCGTGCATTCCTTCAGCTCCGACATTTCGAGGGCCAATCTGCGACCGGCCGATTGCCACTCCGTCATGAGGCCGTCGTACTCCTACGGGGAATCAAAATACCAATCATAGTGGCGGTGTATGCCACCTTCTGGCAGTGTTCTCTCGTGATCCCCGCGAACAAATGTCCCCCGGCAATGCGGGGGGAATGTCAGCGAGGTGCAGTAAAAGTAGACGCGCGTCTAACGCGCCGGCCACACGACTCAACGAACCGCAGTCGATCGGCACGGCCGATGTGAAACATACGGAGAGCACATTGCTTAAAGAGGTACGTAACGGGTGACGCATATCCATTACACGTCGGACAGATACGCCGAACTATTATCTCGACGATTTCTCGGCTGCAATTGTCCGTTCGCTCGAATCAGCCCGCGTGCGCGCAAATACCGATCGCGTTAGATCAACTCGCGCGACCCAATGTCGCGCGCGCGTGATAATTGATATCGACTTCTCGATATCGTACTTCCCGCGCAATTAGTTTATCCTTGTTGCTTACATGCGACAACACACATATCTTTGTAACGGAAAAACAAAAGGCAAACTAATTGATCACTTGGCTATTCCTTTAATTTGATTAAGATATGGAATCGCGAGATTCTCGACATTCCTTCTCACGTTTAATCCGAATATGATGAAAACTCATTGTAAATCGATTTTCTTTTCATGAGCAAAAATTTATTAGGGTCGATTTTTCGATATCAGTTTAAAATTAGGTTTAAGTGTAATATTAATACTGAGAGAAAAAAATATTTAAGAAGTAAAAGATATTTTTATTCGGCAGATATTAATAACATATCTGCTTATATTAATATAAAATATTTTTCAAATAAAAAAATATATATTTTGTTGAAACCTAATAAATATTTTTTTATTTCTTTCTTTTATTGTATAGTAAATGGCAACCCTCTTTAGAAGCCTGAAAAATTTTGACTCTTCACTATTTGAATATTTTAAAACACTTTTTTCTTATTATTCGTTATCAATGATGGTTTTTAAATATATTAAAAACATAATTTGCCAAATTTTAACATTTTATATTATAGACAATTTGTAATAGTTTTCATAATTTTGAAACTTATAATTTCCGTCAACAAGATGCATCATAATTATTACTTACTTGGTCCTCTAGAATTAATACAAAAAGACAAGTGAATGGACAGAATAAAATACAATAAACTTTATTAGGATTAAAAAAAACTAAAATCTTGAATAATAGTTTGTCTACACTATATTCTTCTAACACTGGCAATTAAATAAAAAGATAAAATGAGTTTTTTGGATATTCAAAATAAATTACAAAATCATTCATCGCAAATTTATCAATCTTCCATTACTCTTTCAGTGTGTTTACTTTATTATTACTTTAAAAATAATTAAATTACTTTAAAAATAATCAAAAATTACGAGTGATATATATATTTTTTTTCCTAAACCACGAGAAACAAACATGACAAGAAGAAGACCTTAAAGGAATCAATCGTGCATTCTAACTCTGCTCGAATACATTGTTAGCAACTGAAATTTAAGTTTAAGTCACTATTGAAAAATTAGCTATTGTACAATTGATCGTACAATTAATCATACAATTAAAGGATCGTAGCAACTGCGAACGTGCCTACATCTTTCATTGATCGTGAAATACTGACAAATTGCCAACGTCGATCAGTGTCACGATCGGGCGATAAATTCCCCGACAATCATCGCGTAAAAGCTGCCGGAATGGCCAGAACGGCACGGCGGTTATTTCGCACGAGCGATTTTCAACTTGCATTTATTTCGTCAAATACGCCGATTCATCGTCGTGATGTTAAAGCGAGCCAAGCAAAATAGCCGTCCGCCGCTTTCGACGCTGAACGACAAGCCACGATATACCAATTTGTCGCGAAGTTTGCCTCACCAAGACATATTGACCGCGAATGTTCACCGCCGCGACAGCTGCGATTAAACGATCATTACTCTTCGTTGCGCAACACGATGTAAGAGTAACTTAATCCTTTCCATCATTTACATAACGAATTATGTCCATTACGTAGGAGCAAAAATCGGCGAGTGTTTCATTCAACATTCGCGAGATGTAAATCGTGAAAATAATTACAGCCTATTAGAGAGATTCCGCGCGAAAAGGTTAATACGAACGTAGACTGGCTTCTTAGATACCTATTCATTTAATTAACTATTATCGTTTGATCGTTAATCGGTGCAATTATCGCGCCTGCCCTCACAATTGTGACTCAAATGCCGCTGTGATTTACAGTTACGAAATGTCTGCGTCATTATGAAGGGCACGCTATTTATTTCAGCTAAAGAGCCGCCCCGCCGACAAGTATGGGTATTCACCGCGAGGGGACATAATTACCTTATAAAAAGCGATCCATTGCATCTGGTCGTGATTTTCTTCTCGCCTGGGAATATACTTGGCGAGAGTGGCGTCATTCACGACGACAGCCTGAAAGGAAGCGTTTATGGGTAATTATATATATATATGTACCGTCGCGAAGTCGTTCAATGATCGTACTTGTGCGACCGTAAATTACGTTCGTCGCGGAACAAACGCCGCGGCTTTCGCGCGACATTCGTCCTGCGACGACAAAAGTGCCCCCCTTGGCACAATGGCGGATCGCGCAGCAATAACGTGCCGGACAACACAATTACCGAACGAAATACACCGGTACGAAACGCACGTGCGCGTGCTTAAGAAGCCGAATATAATGCAGCGTGGAATTTGGATCGCCGCGCACAATGATCGCCGAGAAAAAAGGAGAGAAAGAGAGAGAAACGGGGATCTCTCGGTTACTTTCTTGCCCGCGGGAAGGTGCGCGCTCAATGCCGTTTAATGGGGACTTAATTGTTCGTTGTCGCCATCGGGAACTCACCTGGACGCTACTGAGAGGTAAGAAGGACTCGACAGGGCCGTCCATTGCCGCGGCGGCGCGAAACACTAGAGCCTGAGCGACATTGATCCTGTCCTGCAAAAGCGACAATCGCGGGTCATTGCTGTGGCAATCGTGGGACAGAGTTCACCTCCGTCCGGTGAAACGATCTCTCACCTGTAGCAGTAGCAACACGTTGTCCACGAAGTCCAGACCCTCCTTGGAATCGCCACGTACGAAGATGGTGAAGCCGTCCTTCGTGTGGTCGGAGCTGAAAATCAGAAAATGTGTCGCGTGTTAAATTACGTGTGTGAGAACATTATTATTCGCCCTAACATCCAGCGCACGGCTCTTACCGCCCTTATATGACTCTTAAGGGAATATTGAGAAAACTTTACCGACAGAATAATACTGACATTTTTCTGCAAAATTTACGTAGTGTTACGTTGTACAGAATTACAAGTGCTTTTACACAATGAAAGCACGTGCAAAAATAAAATAGGAGCTTTAATTCTATTTTATACGAAAGATGGAAATATTAGCGTGTGACTTCTTGCAGGGACTATACGAATAATACATCCTCAGCCGTGGGTCGAAAGCGTTACCTAAAAATAGCCATTGTCCGTATTAGCCAGACGGAATACCCGCGGCGTGTTTTCGAGTGCTTATCGACCGTGTTTACGGACGTGAAATTTTCTAAACAAATATTATCGTTCCCGCCGCGGAGAATTCCGTGTGTGCACACGTGAATCAGTCGCCGGTAGTCGACACGCGCGACAGCATCTCCCACGTGTGTCGGTTTCTCCCTCACCGGCCGCGGGCGAAGTGAAACGTGTCACTCCCGTAGTGTAGCAATATACTTTTGTATAAATCGACGTACACGTGCGGACCCAACGTCAGGCGCGTTCAACGAACGGCCGCGGAGAAACGAGGCTGCTTAAATCGTCGTGTCGCTTCTCGCGATGTTTGCCATTCAGTCGACGGGTTAAGGTGAAGGCGAAGTGCTTAAATCGCGGTAACAGCCGACGTGTTCTTGACGTCACCGATAACTCCACAAGAGTAATCGATGTGCGGTTGCATCAACTGCGGTGCGTCGAATTCAGAAACGCAGCCGGCACTGATTTCTCGTAAACACCTCTAATGCAAACTCCACGAGTTAAATTATAATCACACTGAGAGAAATTATCTAGCTAAAAAATTAACAAACGGATATTCCCATTCAAACTCCGATCAAATTTTATCTGATCAGAATGTCCGATTAAATTTAATCGGATACTTTCGATTATAATGGCATTACATTAATGCCATTAAACCGATCAAGAAATTATGAACCGATATTTGTCATCGGATGTCTTCTGATCGGATACAAAAGCTCATCGATATTTTGATCGGAAATATCCGTTTGTTAATTTCTTATCGAATAATTTCTCTCAGTGTAATTTATTTTCACGCGCATTTTCATTGTGTAAAGCATTTGTAATTTATAATTCTGTGTAACTAATACAACGTAAACTTTGCAGAAACAAGTTAATATTTTATTGGTAAAGTTTTCAAATATGGCACCCTCTTAAACGCACGAATTAATTAATTTAACAATTTAATTTACACAAATTAAGTTAGTTAAGTTATCAAGGTTCGTATTAATAATCGTTACTTGCCTCAGTAAGCCGATTTTCTAATCTTATAACGACGATGTCGCAATAACAACGACAACTGTCGTTAAAAGTTATAGAATCAGAGTACAGAGAAATGTTTAAATTTGAATTTAGAATTGAGAATAAACTTCTTAGTCAAACCGCGACTGAATACAAATAAAATGTATATTAAATGCGTATATTAAATGGCTCGAATAAGAGATTTCAAATCTAAATTCAGATCTTGAGTATCTCACGTGGAACAAGTAATTACTATTAACACGAGAGTCTAAATGACCAAAGAGATATTATATCTTACATCTGTCGTATCTATCTGACGTCTGTGCGTGCCGTAAAGTCGTCATTATCTCGACTGAAATTTTCACCATAATAAAATGCGATCGTGTACCAGAGCGATAGCCGCGTTTGCGGTACGGGATCGCGAGCAGTGGCTGAAAACATAAGCGTAAGCGCGATCCCAGCCGACTAAACATAACCCAGTTGTATCGCGTATCACGAACGGCACTCACTTATGACACGTGGGTGGTTGGCGTCAAGCACACGGCGTTTCTCACGCGGCTCCCGTGGCACTCTCACACCCCTCGCACTCTCGTCGCCCCCTCGCATCTACAGCGACCATGCCTCTGCACGCGGTGTACAGTGGTGCAGTGTCTAAGCGAGCGCACAATGCCGAGCCTTGTGTGCAAGCGTCGCACAGCGTCCCGCGATCTATCCCTAAATTGTCATCAGTGCGACAGGCAACGGCCGTAGCGGAGCGCGTAAATTTCTACCTCTGCGCCGTTCACTCCAGCACTTCCGCGGCTGTGCGCGGCCGCCGTCGCCGTCGTTCTCGTTGTCGTCCTCGTCCGTTCTCCCGATTTCGCCGTCGCGGCGCAATCGACCGGCGAAACTCCGCGAGGGAGGCGGCCACGCCACGGGGACGCCAATGCGAATGCTTCGTGACAACCTTCTCAAATTGCACGTGCAACTGTGCGACCCAGAGTTTCGAGTGATGCACTTCGCGTCGCCGTTCCACGTAAAACTCAACGGCGCAAATCACACGGCGCCGATGTTACCGCGAAGTAACTTGTTTGGGCGATGGCGAGCGAGATAACATCAAATCGCCGTCCTGACTTCCTGTCGTTGCGCGTCCATTACGGAGTCACGGTAGAAGTAACCTTCGAACTCGGGAAGATCGTGTTTCCGGACTTCGCAGCGATGGAACACTCGCAGTGGCGATCTTCACCGGTATTCTCGACTCTACTTTGTTATCGTATGACCCAAAATTCATATCAGATCTTTCGCGAGTGACTCTTGTCGGTAGCCACTTATAAGGCTGTTGAGCATTGATCGATTAAAAAAATCTTTTTTATTAGAGGTGATCGGGGCTAGATGTCCCATATTTCAAGATTTCGAAGTTACAACTTCTCAGACAATTAATTGTTTTATCTGACTGTATAAACATGATAGAGAAAGCCATCTTCTATGTGCTAATGGCTGCCACAATCTTGTTAATCGTATACTTTATTTTGTAATGACAAAATTATAAACGTGTAATAACATGGCTTTATAATCTTAATCTGAGTAAAAAAAAGAAAGATTATAAAATAAAATATATATAAAAATCATATATAAAAAGAAATAATGCAATTTAGCATTTTAAATCTGTTATAATAACATAATACCACACGGAGAAAAATAATTTGCTGGCTCAGTAAATTTTCTGCTAATAACATCTAGTAAAAGCTAACTAAGTCTAGCAAAATCTTTTCGTTATTATGGACAGCAAAAAGACAGCTAAAAGTACTAATCTCTATTTGCTGGATATAATTTACTGAATCTACAAATTATTTTGCTATAAAAACCATGATGGATTTATATAAGCAGTTGTAGTTTTGCTCCGATAGCAAATAAATTTGCTAAGGATACATTATTTTGCATCAATAGTAAATTAATGTGATTCTTAGAACAAATACACTCAACAAATTTTTTCTATCCTGACAACGAAATTATTTCTGCTCTGATAACGAATAATTTGTAAAATTAATTACGTCAACTAAATTTTTTTGATGTCACTACGAATATGCAGTAGCAACGACGATTTTGCTAAAAGAGCAAAATTATTTTTCTCCGTGCATTATGTCTCTAAATGTATAAGTTTGGATTAGATAGTTTAAAATATTATAGATCATCACGCGATATTTGCACAGATACTTAACCTGAGAGTGGGCGCGTTAACAGGACCAACGTTAGTGGGCGCGTATCGGTCATTTCGACCGAAATATATTTAAGCACATACATGTATAATAATTAAGTAATAATTAATAAATTACCAATCAAATTATTAAAAAAATAATAATTGAAGGAAATAATTTTATTATGTCACTATTTCTTCTTTTCTTTATCTTTTTTTCTCTTTACCATTTCTATATCTAATATGTTTAGGAAACATATTAAACTTATTATACGTATGTGAATATATTAAAAATAAAATCATAATATTTTTATTTTAACTGCATCAGTAAAAAATGACATTCTTTTAGTTTAATAAAATAAAATAAGAATTTCTTGCTTCTCTCGTTTTACTTTGATTAACTTAAACATTGATTTAATAAATTTAAAAATTTATTTGATAAATTTAGAAATAGAGAATAAATCTTTTTGATTTAATGGTAATATTAAAATTATCACATTATATATTGTTTCAATAATTCAAGTATTAATTTTAATAATATCGCTATTGAATCAAGAATATATACTCCAATTAAGCGTGCTGTTGAAAATTTTATTGATTCAACAAAAAAAGAGAGAACCGTCCGTCCAACTACGATGTCGAAAAGACAATAGACGTTCGGCGGCATATCGACGCTGACGCGGCAGAGATAAGAGACTAACGTTAATAGGCGCGCTATAGTCTTTTAGACCGACTGCTAAAAACGTGTCAAATTTCACATAGAAATAAACGCGTCTACGTCGTCTAATTCTCTATGCTATACCAGAAAACAAAGAAAATTTACGTAAAAGCGAAAATACGATAATGTCAATAGATTAGATGATATAAATAGAAAACGAAAAAGTACGGGGAAATGACCGATACGCGCCTACTCCCGAGTTAACTGAAATGACGAGTGATTTTGAATTGCAGGCGCGATTTTGCGATAAAGGTCCAATTGCGTATCGCATTGCGATTCAGGGAAAGAAAACCGCAATGCTTGCGCGATGTATCGCAAGATCGCACATCCTTAGGTGCAACGGCGCAGAACAGTTAGATCGGCAGTCGTGGCCCGGAAGCGACGATGGTCGTTGATAAGTAAATCACTTCGATTTCGCCGAGTTAACGTCGCGCGACAGCCACGATCGCGCGACGCCCACGCTCGCCTCGCCTCTCGGCGTCGGGTTCATCAGCGTGCGATGTAAGCGCGCACGCGCGCGGCCGCTGACGTATGATAAATATAGGTGTTAGAGCGTGTGCGCGTGCGCTGCTCACTCGCCGGGTCCCTCTCTCGCGCTCCTCGTCTCTCCGCGACGCGATTCACCGGCAAGAACGAGATCGATAAGAGTGGTCCCGTAGTGACCGTGTCGACAACGATCGCCGTTAGCGATCACGCTTGGCAGTTAGCGCGCTTCGCCTAAATTG